CTCCTCCTCCTCCTCCTCCTCCTCCTCCTCCTCCTTCTCCTTCTTCTTCTTCTTCCTCCTATACGCTCCTGAACCTGCGTCTGATATGTCTCCAAAAAGCACTTTCCTGGGGGCACCTTGTCTGGGGGTCTGTAACTCAGACCCACCCCAGACTAATCTGCACGTCACTTGTGGGGAATGTGGGGAGGCATCCCGGGGAGCTGTCTCTAGCCCACACAGGGTTGAGCAGTCATGTAGATTGGGAAATTTTAGGAGCCCAGTAAATATGCTTTAGGAACCCACTGGATGCCACAACCTACCCTCCAACTCCAGTGCTATAGCTCAGTTTTGCAGTAGAGCAAATTTCTGAGATTTGGCGGTTGAAGGGGTAGGTTGCTGTTTCCTTGTTTGAGAACCAGCGGTCTGCTTCTTCAGTCCTTCAAGCTCAGGATTACCTAACAACATGGAGTTAGGGAGTAGATAAAGGAGCAAACTGAAAACGGTCCGCCATGTTTTGCTGTTGGGCCTGCATTTGGTTTAATAAATTATCGTTCCTGGTTATAACTGAACCAGTTCAGGGAAAAAGGTATTGACTCACACCACACTGAATTGTGACAGTTTTAGATATTCTGATACCTTAACATAATTTCTGAACCTAACATCCTCTTTCCCCCCCCCCCCAAATGTTACAGGCTGTACAATGTCAGCAGGAGTTTTGTGCCAGTTATTTGCTGCAACACGGTGCAGACCCCAATGTAGTGGATTTAAACAGTAACACTGCCCTTCATTTTGCTGCCTCTACTTCAAGTTTATCTATAGCAGAACAGCTGCTTGAATATAACGCCAATGTTGATGCCCAGAACAAGGTAAACTTCAATTAGTTAAGTCATAAAGCAACTTTTGTTTTTATATACTCTTTTAATACTAGAATAATGCATCGAGGAGAAAATGTATAGGCAATGGTATGTACAATTGCAATGGAAGAGAAAAAGAATAAGATGATTAACCCACCTGTGCCTCTACATCTCTGTTCCCTCCCTCAGTTTGAGCAGCCTACAGCAGCTTCTCAGCAACTATATAAAAGCATGCTGATCCTGTGTTGAGCCTGATGTTCTTAAAAAGGATTTTTGTCATCTGTAGGAGCAGGATAGAAAAAAGCGATTCATACTCATAGCCTACAGAGTTCAGTGGCGTGGCTGTGTGATGCCTAGTTGAGCTGATGCACCCTGAACTGAGGGCAGAATGCAGGCCAAGGGGAAACGTGTGGCAGCTGGTACCATCAGTAGCCAGGCTCAGGTGGATGCAGCCTTTCTAGACTCATAGGACCAGCCTGGGTGCCCAGAGGTCCTGAGCCTTTTGAGGTGTCTCCTTCTGCCTTCCTTGCTTGTGTTCTAGTCTCTACCCAATGTAAACATGGTAGCTGTGAAAGTAAAGATATGGACAAATCTGACCACAACACCCTCTGGATCATTAGGAAGGAAGGCAGATATCAAACAATCCTTTGAACTTTGAGGCCAGACAGGGGCACACATTAATTGGCAGTTAGCTGTTGCCAGCTTCATGCAAACTTATGCTCTGAACATCTCTGTGGCTTGGTTTTGCTTTACTTAAACCAGTCTATCCCTGTTAATGTTCCATCATATTTAGCTGGCATCAGGGGAAACATGTTTGTGCAGACACTGCTTAAAAACTGCCAGTGAGGGGGAGCTCACCGCCTCCCTAGGCAGCTGATTCCACTGTTACACAACTCTTACCGTAAAAAAGGTTTTCCTAATATCCAGCTGGTACCTTCCTGCCCTCTATTTAAACCCATTATTGTGAGTCCTCTCCTCTGCTTCCAACAGGAACAGCTCCCTGCCCTCCTCTAAGTGACAGCCATTCAAATACTTGAAGAGAGCAATAAATCTCCTCTCTGCTTTTTCCTCTCTCCATTGTCCCTCCCATGCCAGGTGTAACCTAACCTAAGCAGAAAGCAGGAGTAGCCCTTGCATAAAATGTGATACTTCTTAACTTCTTAGAGATGTAAGGATGAGCAGATTACTAATAAGATTGCTGTTTTTGTAATATTTGTGTATTGGCTGAAAATTAAATGTATTTCTTGCTGTGAACAAATGATTTGTGATAAGTGATCTTTGCATTAGTTATATCACTTATGAATGGGTATTGCAAAGAGATCTAATTTTTTGTTCCTATAGATAAACCCTTTTAAAATGCAACTGACATGATAGCCTTAGCTTGTGTCAAGTACCACTAAAAAAATTAAAAATAGATTATGGGAATCTATTAAATGAGTTCATAACATTATCTTATCACATATATTTTATTGGATCAGTTATTAGGGTTTTTTTCTAGGCATTTTTCTATTAAGAGTAGCCAAAAAACAAAGTTTGAAATGTTACCAACATTTATATTGCATGTGTATGAGGGAAAATTTCATGACTTTCAATTTTTATGCTTGTAGGATGGGAACACACCTCTTATTCTTGCAGTAGCAGGAGGTAATCAAGAAATGGCAGAGTTTCTTCTTAAAAAAGGAGCATCAGCACATGCTAGGGAAAACTCAGGAAGGTATTATCTATCTCTCAAGTCTTTACAACTATTTCTGGGGATTGAGAATTGCTATTTCCTAGATATATACATGCTGAGATAAATGACGTGTGTAATGCTATCAGAGGTGATGTGCTCATTCCCCCCCCCCCCCCCGCCCCCTACATGGTTGCTGAAAGATGATGTCCAGGGTACTTTACATTGAAACCAGATTTCCTTCTGAGGTACAAATACAGGCAACCTGTGGTTTGTGCCTCTTGTGCTCGCTAAGGCAGGGAAGCCTCTGCTCGGAAAGGGCTTTGGTGACACTTCTTAGGTCGGCTGGAGTTCATTCCCTGGCTTTCTGCCCTTTTCCTTCTTTTCTTTCTGGTTCTCTTCTTTTTCCATGTTATTTTCTACCTCCCCCTCCCCCTGGTTTCTGTGACTCTTAGACATCCTTCCCCTTCTCTTCCCTCTAAGTCTGTCCACTCCTTCTCTATCTGCCTGTCTTCCTGTTTGCTGCCCTCCTTGCCCTGCTCTGTGGTTGGCTGCTGTCATGACCCCAGGGGGACTCCAACTTCTGCCGCCACCACCCTGGACTTCGGTCCCTTGAGAAGGCCCAGGGTACCCTCTCAAGCCCATCCAAAATGCCCCTTTTACAGCCGAGAAAACATGAGTGTGATGACCAAGGCAGAGAAACCGTGAACAGAAAGGGTTTGTTTTTACAATACTGGGCAGGGGGAAAACAAGACAAGACAAGGTGCCATCATATAACAGTAGTTAAAAGGAAAAATAAACAGAATCTAACACAGCTACCTATTACTATTCCTAACTGGTTACTACTTCCAGGCCCACAGCCTGCCTAACACTCACGCTGAGCTAAGTGGGGGATCTTTTCCTCTCACCAGACCAGCCTGTCCCCACAGTGACCAGGCCACAGAGAGAGACGAAAGAACCCCGTTTTCCACAGTTAACACCTCAAGTCAGACTCTCCTCACAGTATGCAACAGTCTCCTCCCAGAACCTCTCTCTCTGATTGGCTATAGCCCGTTGCTAAGCCTTATGGGGATTGTAGGCCATCTGCTTTCACTGCCATGCAGGTCTCTCCTGGGACCAGGCCGCACCAGGCCCTGCTCCCAGTCCTGCACAGATCATGACAGCTGCTGAGGCACAACATCTGGAACCTGGGGACACAGGTCCCACCCCCACCCAGAGTCGCTAAGTAGTGTTAGCAGGCAGATTCTTGTCCTGATGGCCAAGTGGTTGCAGCTGCTGCTTTGATCAGAGAATCACTGGACATATTTTCCACAGGGCTGTTCTAGGGTAGCCACCCACTCGTTCCTGTTTCCCGGGTGGTGCTGGCAAGCCAGGTGAGTGGCCTCCCCGTTCCTTAACAATGCAGTTGTGGTTATTAGACCTGTATCCATGTTTCCAGGGCTGTGTCATCAGGTTTTAGCACCTGAGATGAACACAGAGACTGATATATCAATGTGGAGTAACTGGTAGTAGGCTTGCCAAGTCCCCCCGGGGGGCGGGAAAAACCCCGCCCCAGAGGCCCGTTCCCCGCCAGCGGCGGATCGGGCCCCGGGGGGAGCCCCACCCTGACGTGCGCGTCACCCGGAAGTGATGCGACCACGCCAGGCACGCTGGGGGCGGGGCCACGGTCATCTGAGGGAAAACTCTATGGTTTTCCCTCGGATGGTCGTGGCCCCGCCCCCAGCATGCCCGGCGTTGTCACGTCACTTCCGGGTGGTGTGCGTGCGGCACGCGCACTCCAGACGCCAGCCAGGAGTCCCCCACTGCGGCGCAACACCCGACTTGGCAACCCTAACTGGTAGGGAGATCAACTGGAGTTGCTTCTATTTACAGAACATTAATCCTTGAATGTACATTCAGATTGCAGATTGACCTCTTGTTTATTATTCTGAAACTTTCTGGATATATTTTTAATTTATTTTATAAAAAGTATACCCAACCTTTCTTCCCTCATAAGGGCTGCAAAGGCAGGTAACAATTTAAAACATATACCAATTTAAAATATAAAATCCAGTCTTAAAAACATTTAAAACCAACCAAACCTACATACTTAAAACAATTAGAACCAGAAGTAAAATATGTACCAAAAGATAAAACATAGGGCAGGAAGGAGGCATCACTGCCACAATGCCAAATGAAAGAAAGAAGTCTTCACCCACTGGTGCAAGAAGTCAGTAGAAGGGAACAGATGAGTCCCCTGAGGAGAGAGTTCCAGAGTTTTGGTGCCACGGCAGAGAAGTCCCTCCCCCAGTGTCAGAAGGTGGGTGGTACCTGAAGTGTAGTGGGTTAGACGCACTGAGACTGATGTAGTGGCCAGCATGGTTTACTGGTACACAACAAAGACAAAAACTAACGGCCGGGTGGCCAACTATATACACACCTGGGGACACTCCCCTAGGTCCCGTTGGTGGGTTTAAATCTCCCACCACGGTCCTATTGGTTCCCCAGTGGAGAGACTAGGAGCCTACTCCCCATTGTTCCTACAGAGTCAAGCTCGGGGGTATTCGCTGGCCCCTGGTGGCGGTCAGCGGACATAACAGTACCCAAATCAGAGCCCCCTAAAATGACCATAATAGTTGGGTATGTTCATAAGAGAGTATGTAGTCCTTCTGGTATACTGGTCTCAAACCATATAGGGTTTATGAACAGAATCAGGGATTATAATAAAGGATTGTGAATATAATACGGCATTAAGGTGATCACAGGTTATTTCCTCTCCTCTTGATTATTTGGCAGTGTCAAAAAAAGTTCAAGGTTATATTAGACCCATGCTGGCTTTCAGAAAACAAAATATCATAAAGGTGAATGTCATTGCTGCCAATTAAATATTCTTTTAGTGCAATGTACTTGATATTCTGTTCACACTTAGCAGCAAAATGAAAAACAAAATACCACATACAGAAGAGGAACACTTCAGTGACCATTGCAACACAGCTGACATCACCAGTCAACACTTGGTAGGCTATGCATGGAAGGAATCAGTTCTTGCACAGTCCTAGAATGCCTCAATGATTGCTCGAAACTGTTTCCTTGCCGCTGAAGTCATGCCTCAATGATATTGCCATACTCCATGGGGTCCCCAGCCTTTTTGAGCCTTCAGGGCACCATTTGAATTCTGACACAAGTTGGTGACAACTTCAAAATGTCTGCCATTGGAGGTGGAGCCAGTCACAAAATGGCAGAGAGTCAGGTTATGCATAACTCTAATAGTAAATCTTCAGCATTTAAGGCAGAAGTTCTGTTTAACAGCATGCCTTTCAAAGTGAACATGTTGTGTAAAAATGCTTTCTTACATACAGAAGCTTACTTTTAGTCACACAGTGAAAATCCTTTGCTGTGATTGCTGCTGCTGCTGAAGGAATGTTTTTAAAAATATGCACAGCCAATCAGAAACCCTGCTGGGTCAAAGCCCCACTCACTTCATTAGAGCACTTGGCAGGCATTAGGGAAAGTATCAGTAGGGTGCCATGGCACCCACAGGCACCGTGTTGGGACCCTTGCCCTGCTCCATCTCACGGACATGACCACACTACGCCATCCTTACTAGGGTGTACCACTGTAGTTTAAACAGCAGGTAATCTATTTATTTAATTCATTTGTACCCCACCTTTCTCCCCAATGTGGATCCAAAGTGTCTTACATTATTCTCCTCTTCTCCATTTTATCCTCACAACAATCCTGTGAGGTAGGTTAGGCCAAGAGAGTATGACTGGCCGAAGGTTACCCAACGAGCTTCCATGGCTTGAGTGGGGATTCCAACATGGGTCTCTCAGATGCTAGTCCAACACTCTTAACCACTACACTATAGTGGCTGGTACACTCAATGGATGCCTGTAGATGGCTTGAAGTCTCTGTACATGCACACCCCATATACAGCCACTCTGTAAACATATAGCGATGATGCAGTAAAGGAAGGATGAGTTTTTCTAGCTCATACTTAGCTGCCTGCTCTGCTCACTTGGGAGGAAAGTACATATGAAGAAGCCATGTCCCACCCTGGACAAGACTTCAGGACCTGTTGAAGGAAATGTTGCAGTAGGGAGAAGGGAGATGTTAGGACAAGCAACAACGAAAGCTGCAGTGTTAGTTCATTGATCTTGAGCCTTAACCTGCATTTTCCTTTGCAGCTAGGACGGTCATAAGGCTGCTGTTTAGAACACTTGTACGTGTTGGCTGACAGAAGGTTCACTTTTTGGAGTTGGCCAAGGGTAGTTCTATCTAATTAAAGCACAAAGAGTTGTTTTAACTTACTGTGAAAAGTGTGCATGACTGCATAATAGTCATGATAGAACTGGCAGTTAGATTTAGCTGTTTAATATTTTTAATATGAGCTCTTCACCTACAGAAACCTGGTAAAGGTATTTACTATAAATTTTTGCAAGAGCAAGATCCCTCAAATAAAACCACTGGAGAGATGTAATGTGGGGTTAATCTGTTTCCTTTCAAAGTAGGACATTCCTCTCTTCTGCTTTGCATACAAAACAAAAAAAATACTTCACAGTGGGGAAAGCAGATATAACAGCCCAGAGCAACTGTCAAAGTCTGACAGCTTTGATCACTGGACAGTTTAGCCGTTCAAACCGTGAACAGATCTCTGCACACATGACCAGGTGGAAGGCAATGAGCCCCACCTTTCTTTCTTTTTTCTTTTTTTTTACTGCCCCTGGGGGCAGAATTTTATTAAATCTTATTACACATTACAATACAAAACTTAATAGACAAACTAACACATAAAACATTAACACATAACATTAATGGGGGTAGTGAATTTTCATAGATATTACATTAATGATGCCTCATCGCCAATATTATCTAGATTTATATAGTGTGAGTGGGTCTCCTTACAATTTTCTCTTGTTGGGTTAAATCAATATACTTTAACTTGTAAGTCATTTTTCAATTGTATCTGCCTAAATGTAGTTATTGTACCAGTTATAAAAGTGTGTCCAAGTATTCTGGAATGTAGAGTCCGAGACCTTTGACCAATAAAGTCAATTTATCCATTTCTGCTGCTTCTAGAACTTTGTTTATGTATTCTTGTCTCGTAGGAGTCTCAGGTGTCTTCCAATATTTAGCGTATAGAATTCTAGCTGCAGTGGTTAAATATACAATAAGATAGCGATCCTCTTTGTTAAGATCTATCGGTAGAATGTTCAACAGTAACACCTCTGGTGTAAATGGTATAACCGTGCCTAACACTTTTTGAATCATTGCATGGATCCATATCCAATATTTTTTCGTTATTTCACAGTACCACCACATATGATAGAACGAGCCCACCTTATTTTCACATTTCCAGCACTTATTTGAACATTTACTATTACATTTCGCTAACATCTCTGGTGTTACATACCATCTATAAAACATTGTATATACATTTTCTTTATAAGCTATGGCTTTTGTAATTTTTATGTTTTTCTTCCACATTTGTTCCCATTGCTCTAAGTCAATATTGTGACCTATATTTTCTGCCCATTGAATCATATTTACTTTAACTGTTTCCTCTACCATCATATCATTCAGTAAGAGGGTGTAAATTCTTTTTATGAGTTTTTGATCAGAGGTTGTCATAATTTTTTCAGTCTCCATCAGGTTTTCATGAAAGCCTGTTTTCTTGTCTTTAGCAAGACTTTTGCACTTTTGCACTTTTTGCCATGATAAGTCCTTTAGCGGTTTCAGCTCATTCTTAGAGTCCAATATATCCTGATATCTTTTTGGTTTGTCTTCATCATAGATGCTTGATAACGTAAATGCTTCCAAAGGGGCAGTCAGGTTTGAATTTTTGTGAAAAATTGTTTGTGTATAGTTTCCCAAACTTTCAATAAAGATGCACGAAGCCAATGTTGTTTAAAGTACTTTTGTATAGACGCCTTCCCATACCATAAAAAAGCATGCCATCCCAGCATAAGGTCGTGGCCTTCTAGTTTTAATGTTCTCTTATCCTCAAGCATAATCCAGTCCCTAATCCAGACTAATGCCATAGCTCTATAGTACAAAGTCCAATTAGGATGTCCAAAACCTCCTTTTTCTTTGGTGTCTTGAAGAGCCTTCAGTCTTATTCTAGGACGTTTCCCTTGCCAAATAGATTTCGAGACTAACTGGTCCAGGTCTTTAAAAAAAATTTGGTTTTGCAAAATGGGAATTGTCTGAAATAAAAATATCCATCTAGGAAGAACATTCATTTTAATTAATGCAATTCGTCCCATTAATGAGATCTGTAGATTTTTCCATTTTTCTAAATCTTGTTTAGTTGTCTTCAAAAGTTCTTTGTAATTATTTTCTTGTAAGGCACTACATTTGTTTGTCATCATAATTTATATTTTCTTGTACCTGGAAGTTTGTGATTTCTTGTAATTGTTCCTTCTGTTTTGTGTCCATGTTCTTGGTCAAGATCTTTGTTTTATTAAGGTTCACCCTCAGCCCTGCAACTTGTCCATAATCTTGGAGTTTCTCCTTCAAATTAGAAGGTATCGGATTCTCTAAGATGAATGCTAGGTCATCTGCATGTTAATCAGTTAGGTTTACTCATAGGATTGTGCTATTAAGATTTCAGCCTTAGAGGTGCAGGTCAGTATTACCTAAGGATTGGTTTTATTTTCTCTGTTTGCCTGTAGTCTTGAGGTTGCTGGTTCTCACAGTTAGATCTGTACTTACTCCAAACTTGTATTTTTATTTTGTTTTATTTATTTTATCCTGCCTCATTTTGTTGTACATTTCTTTTTACTTGGGATAAATGCGTTACATTTTCCTTATCAGGGGCTCAAATACTCATCCTGGAAGCCAGTCAGCCAGGCTACTCAGAAAAACAGAGAAAATTAATCCTTCCTGTCAAAATGTATAGTTTGTTTTTTTGTTTCTCTCTCTCTTCCCCCCCTCCCCATTTTGGGGGTATAGCAGGTCAAAGTTCCGGAAGAAGTCACGGAGGGGAGGCAGTACATACACCTCATTAAGTACTTTTCCCCCTTGGTCCTGGTGGCAACTGATAAGCCCTCTTTTCCCATTTGGGGTCTTCCTCCCCAGTTGCTTTTCTCTTCACCTGCTTCTCCAGGGAATCATTTGATGTGAGAGGAGACTGCATGAACATGGTGACAAAGTCTGCTTGTGTTCAGTGGCAGCTTAAATGGAATGTCATGGCATCTGAATCCAGCTACCGAAACAAATATGCTGAGTAGAATTTTATGTCTCATTTCTGTTTTAGAACACCACTAATGACTGCTGCTTCTAATGGAGATGATGCTTTAATAAATCTGCTCATTCAATACGGCGCTGATGCTTCTGATAAAGATACAAATGGATGGACCGCGGAGGATTATGCTCTGATGGGTGGATATTCCCAGTAAGATTTTATTTAATATAAAGTGTATTTCTAAGCTTATCCATCAACAGAAAGAGAACTTTGAACTGTTCCTTATGTAGACAGGAGTCCCGCAAACTTTGACACTAATGAGTGATCCCAGGTGAAGAAACAATTGTTTGAGTGTCTGCAAATGGAGCAGAGAGTTAGGCCCTCGGGTTAGAGTGTAGTTGTGCTTTGGAGTCACACTGTCAAAATACTAAGATGCCTCAGCTGGCAGAGATTGTTCTATTCTCAGGCTTGGCCTCAGGCTTACTGAGGGCTTCGTTCTTAGGCAAAAAGTAACCTTGACAAATGATATGTTTAAGATTCCCCATATGAGAAGGGGCCCTTTTAAAACAAAAGACCCTACAGAAATAGAACAGAGCTAAAACGGCTCTTTAAAATGCCACTGATTTTATTTTTCAAAATTACATTGTGTTCTTTCATAATTTTTTCTTTTTCTTAGATTAAGTAAAAAACTCCATGGATATGGCAATGGGAAATATGCACAAAAGCCCTCATCTGAGAGTAGAAAAGGCCTGCCTATCTGTAGCAGTCCAGATAAAGATGGAGATAGTGGTTTGACATTGGGTGCGCCTGCAACAAATAAAGAAGGTATGGTTTTATGTAGTAAGATTGGTTAGTAAAGAGTTCTAAATGCATACAAGAACAGTGTAACAGTGAATTAATTTCCAGTGTCATTCCTATTTGGGAATTTATTCCCAGTGTACTTTTTCACATCTATGTGTCTAATAGCCCAGTGTGCCTCCCTTCCAATGGGGCTACCTGGGGAAACCCCCTAGGTTTACGGAAAAGTCTGCTTGTCAAAAGGGGAGGGGAATAACCCCAAATAGTAAAGGAAACTTTCAGGTAGCAGCTTTGGTTGTTGTGGCAACTCCTAGTGGTGCTGCATGTCTCAGTGGCAACCTTGGATGCCACCCAAAGAAGATGAGTGGGGGGCCAAAGTAAGAGGAGGCTGTGCATAGGGGAGGGTAGAGCTGGCAAAAGGGGAGGACAGAAGCTGCCTCTGGAAATGGCAGAAGGGGAAGGAGAGGAAGTGGAGCTGGAATCAGCAGTGAGGAAGGGAAAATGGAGACTGAGCCTGAGGGGTAGGAAAAAGCAGAAACTAGAGCCAGCAGGGGGGAAGTTGGGAGCAAGCAGGTGGTCATGGAAAAAGTATGAGTGTGGAAGGGGGGAGAGCAGAGCCAGTTCAGTTGGAGAGACTGGCAGGTGAGAACAGTAGCATTTGCCCTTTCTCTTGTAGGTCTCTTCTTGTAATTTCTAAAGTTCAACCACCTGAG